ATATATATATATACAGTATATGTGTGTGTATGTGTGTATGTATGCATGTATGTATGTATGTATATATGTATCTACACACGTGTGTGAATATATATAAATACATGTGTATGTATATATATGTACATATACATATACACATGCACACGATCTGCGATATCTTGATGAACCATTCGACACAAATAAAAATGGACTGCCATCAAGGGGGCCTAAACTATTCGTGGCACGGCTGGACTTGGATTTTCCACTGTGATCACCAAGGACAGCCACTGTTAATATTGCAACAATCTTATTATGTCATAAAATAATAAAAATGTATAAACTTTGTGTTGTTTTCCTTCATATTGATAGGTTTCATCTTTCATCTTCCATGTTTGATTAATAAAAAAATAAACTGTTTTGTGTTTCCAAGTCATTTAATAAGACATTGGAGACGAAAAAGTCCTCTTCCACGGCCCAGGCTGTAAGAACCTTATAATTTAAAAGTCAGTTTGCTTGTATCAGTGTTATGCTAAAGAGGAAGTAGTGAGAGAGGCTTTAGTCGAGCCCTTTTGTTTATTCGTAATTGTGCTATGCGAAGGGGGGCGGAGGACTCGAGGCAAAGGAATTATTCGTAAGATAAATAATGTATACTCAGCTATTTATGCACGGTTTGCTATATTCTTGGCATTTATGTATATATCCAAGATACCTAGATGAACCTTTGGCTTGTGTTTTGTTCTTGTCTTTCTTTTGTGTGTAGTATTTTTAGCAAGGAGTTGTATCCAGGTTTCTTTTGATTTTGATTTTTTTTTTTTTATATTGGAGTGTTAGTTTATAAACTTACAAGAGAAGTGACGGTTGTGTAACCCTGGGGAAATAGAATACTTAATGCGACTGCTGACACGAAATACACTCGCAAATATAAACTGGCAAATTCTATGATATATATATATATATATATATATATATATATATATATATATATATACATATATACAAATATATATATATACACACACACACACACACACACACACACACATATATATATATATATATATATATATATATATATATATATATATATACACACATATATGTATATGTTCATATATATATAATTATATAAATATATACATATATATGTATAAAAGAATGTGTGTGTATATATATATATATATATATATATATATATATATATATATATATATGTTCATATATGTATAATTATATAAATATATACGTATATATGTATAAATGTATATATGTATATATATATGTCATAGTTATTCATATATATGGAATATTCACACATATATATATATATATATATATATATATATATATATATATATATTTTATATATATATTTTTTTTAACAGCCTTTATTCCACTACAGGACAGGCCTCTCTCAGTTCACTATTGGGAGGTTGTTTGACAGTGTCACCCTTGCCTGATTGGATGCCCTTCCTAATCAACTGTGGTTCGGCGGCGACTTTCCCCTGCGACACCTGCACTCGACCTCTCAAGATCGAATGCAGGTCGATATGTCGTTTTCTCGCCGTGAGATTTTGTATCTTTCTTTTGATATGCTTATAAAGATAAATACACAAAGACAACTACACACACACACACATACAAATATATACAGATTTATATAAAGACATGAATGTGTATATACGTATATGTATGTGTGTTTATTTATTTATTCACATTCATATTTTATAAATACATACAATACAAATACAAATAGATATACAGAATAACAAATAAACATAAATAAATTAATATGGAGATACGTACTGTACATAGAAAAAAAAACATAAATTATATGCATTCTGATAAACACTGCCGTCGATGGATATATTCTATTTACACATATACGTTCGCATATTGTATTCGTCTCACTGCTTAAATATTTAAAAGTAGGGTGGCCTTCAAATAAGTTCTGGGGACCTGCATTTCACAAGAAGCTATATTTAAACGATATAGCGATCTATGACGTCACAGCACTTGAGGCGCAGAGGCTACTATAAAAGACACGGACCTTTCTCATCGCTTTAGTTTCTATTGTGATTCCATCGTAAACATGTTCTTTAAGGTGACAATCCAGAAAGTGTACCACATGCAAATCCTTAACTATTTCATATATGGATTTTGCTCTGAAACATATATTTTTTTCAGATATCTGTATTGGTAGGCCTCGCAGTCTTCGTCGCAGCCCGACCCGAGACTCCTTCCTACTCTCCTGCTCACCCAGCCCCTTCCTACTCGCCTCCCAGCGCATCCTACAGCGCGCCTGCTCATCCTTCTCCTTCCTACAGTGCTCCCACATACGATAATGTGAGTGTTGACTTGTTGCTATAAAATGTGAGAAATATATTAGTCATGGTATTTGCTTTCTGTTTGGAAGATCGCAATGTGAACGAAAGAAATATAATTCATTTCAAATTCCAAACTGTATATTTAGCCTGGAATTTATATACAGGTTCCAGCCCAATACAACACCCAGTATGCCGTAAACGACGAATACTCAGGTAACAACTATGGACATCAAGAGAACCGCGATGGCTACAAGACTCAGGGAACGTACTATGTGCAGCTCCCAGACGGCCGTCTGCAGAAAGTCACCTACTACGTCGATGGCGAGTCCGGCTACGTGGCAGAGGTCACCTACGAAGGGGAGGCACAGTATCCAGCCTATCAGCCCGCTCCATCAACTTCTTATCAGCCTGCTCCATCACCCTCATACGCTTAATTCGCATGCTATATTCGGGAACTATGAACACCGAAAGAAATAATTTATTTTGATTAAATATCGTACCTGCTGCATAAATGTCGATGTTTCATTCAACCGCACTGAGAATTATTCTAAAAGAAATAAAAAAAAATATTGAATTCTAGTTTATACATACTGATTTTCTTAAAAACTTATAAACACACACACACACATGTATATATGTGTGTTTGTAAGTTGATATGTAATACATAAATATATGTATATATACGTATATTGTTTAAACACAGACGAATATACACATATACATTATATATATATATATATATATATATATATATATATATATATATATATATATATATATATATATATATATATGAATATATATATATATATATATATATATATATACATATATATATATAAATATATATATATATATATATATATATATATATATATATATATATATATATATATATATATATATACATATATATATTCATATTCATGTACACACACACATGTATATGTGTGTGCATATACATATGTATGCACACGCGCGCGCGTGTGTATGTATATATATATATATATATATATATATATATATATATATAGATATGTATAGATATGTATATATACATATGTACATATATATACATATATATGTTATATAACTACCGCGATGGTTAGAGCACTGGACACCGACTCTCATGGTCCTGAGTCGAAAAAGACTGCTGGCTCGATCCCGATCTCACGGCGAAAAATCGATATATCGCCTTGAGAAGTCAAACAGAGGTGTCGCAGGGGAAGTCACCGCTGTGGCAAAGGCGTTAGCGCGCCGAACCGTGGCTAATTAGGAAGGGCATACAATTAGGCAAGGGTAGTAATGCCAAAATATCATATCAATAATGAATTGACAGAGGCCTGTAGATGTCCTACAGTGGAATAAATGGCTGATGAAAAAAAATATATTCCTATATGTATATGTTTATATATGTTTACACATGTATATTTGCTGTATATATATATTTTTTTATGTATGTATTTATGAATATATACAGACACACGTCCGTGTGTGTGTGCATATATATATATATATATATATATATATATATATATATATATATATATATATATGCATATATATATCTGTGTGTGCGTGTGCATGTTTGATTAATAAAAATAAACTCCAGTTGTTTGCTTGTCTTCCAAAGGAAATTAAGAAGACATTGGAGACGAATAGTAGTCCTCTCGCACGGCCCAGGTTGCAAGTACCCTCTCTCCTAATTCACAGGTGAGTTTGTATCAGATATGTTCTAGCTTTAAACCAGAGATATCATAGAGACGTACAGAAGAGTCCTCACACACGGCCCAGGCAGCAGTTACCCTCTCTCTTAATTCACAGGTCAGTTTGCTTGTATCAGGGATATTCTAGCTTTAAACCAGAGATCCTTTAAGGAAGAATATTACTGAAAGAGGCCTTAGTCGAGCCAATTTGTTTACTCGTAATTGTATTATATAATGGCGGACGGAGGCAAAATAATGATTATTTGTAGGAAAAATAATGTGTACTCAACTACTTATGCACGTTTTGCATTTATGTATATATCCAAACTACCTGATTCAGTATTAGTTTTGTGTTTTTATCCTTCTCTGGTCCGTGGTATGATGAAATCCAATGATGAAATCTAATATATGTACAATAATGTGAATGCTGCCTGACACCAAATATACTCTTACGGTTATAATTAGTACACACACACACACACACACACACACACACACACACACACACACATATATATATATATATATATATATATATATATATATATATATATATATATACATGTATATATAATTTTATATATGCATATATATACATATATATTCATATATGTATAATTATATATATACATATATATATATATATATATATATATATATATATATATATATATATATTATATATATATATATATATATATATATATATATATATATATATATATATATATATATATATATATATATATATATATATATATATATATATATATATATATATATATATATATATATATAATTATACATATATGAATATATATGTATATATATGCATATATATGTATATATATGCATATATAAAATTATATATACATGTATATATATATATATATATATATATATATATATATATATATATATATATATATATATGTGTGTGTGTGTGTGTGTGTGTGTGTGTATGTATGTATGTGTGTGTGTGTGTATGTATGTGTGTGTGTGTGTGTGTGTGTGTGTGTGGAAAGAAATGAGGCTCCAGTGTTCCAGTTTATAGATAATTTTAATTGAAATATTTTAAGGTATAGGCTATTTCATATATATCACCAGTTTATATAATTTATGTGAAATGCGGTGGGGTGTTATTTCCTGGTATGTCTCGTATGTGTCACAATTTCTTTGTTTTTTGCATCTTTCCTTCGATATATGTTTTTAGAAATAAATGCACAAAGACAAGTACACACACAAACAGACACAAACACATACAAACACACTCACATACACACACACACACACATATATATATATGCGCGCGCGCGCGCGCGCGCGTGTGTGTGTGTGTGTGTGTGTGTGTGTGTGAGAGAGCATGTGTGTGTATGTGTTTACTTATTTATTCACATTCATATTTTATATATACATAGTATATAACAAATCTATATACAGTATAACAAAAAATATAAATAAATAAATATGAAGATACATATTGTGCATAGGGAGACACCTGGAAATAAACTATATGTATTCTGATAAACAGTGATATAGATGGATATATTCTATTTATACATATACGTTCGCATACAGTATTCGTTTCTCTGTTTAAATATTTAAAAGTAGGATGGCCTTCAAATAAGCTTTTGGTCCTGCATTTTACAAGATATATTTAAACAATATAATGACCTATGACGTCACAGCACTTGAGGCGTAGAGGCTACTATAAAAGACTCGGAATTTTGTCATGGCTTTAGTTTCTGTTGTGATTCCATCGTAAACATGTTCTCTAAGGTGATGATCAAGACGGTGTAAAAAATGTGAATCTTTAACTTTCATCTATAGCTCTTGCTGTGAAACATATATTTTCCAGGTATCTGTATTAGTGGCGTTTGCAGTCGCCGTCGCAGCCCGGCCCGAGACTCCTTCCTACTCTCCTCCTGCTCACCCAGCCCCTTCGTACTCGCCTCCTAGTCCATCCTACAGCGCGCCTGCCCATCCTTCTCCTTCCTACAGTGCTCCGACTTACAACGATGTGAGTGTGCACTTCAGCTGCTCAAAATTAGTGAAGGATAACATTATTCACCTTATTTCCCGCTATTGTTCATTTGGTGTTGCTGTTTTGTAAATCTTTAGTAATATGATCGCATGAAATGTGCATCATTTCATTTTCCATGCTAAAAAATTGTTATGGCTTTTTCTCTACAGGTTCCAGCCCGGTATAACAATCAGTATGCTGTAAACGACGAATACTCAGGTAATAACTATGGACACCAAGAGGACCGCGATGGCTACAAGACTCAGGGAACGTACTATGTGCAGCTCCCCGACGGCCGTCTGCAGAAGGTCACCTACTACGTCGATGGCGAGTCCGGCTACGTGGCAGAGGTCACCTACGAAGGGGAGGCACAGTATCCTGCTTATCAGCCCGCTCCATCACCCTCTTACGCATAATTCAGATGCGTTGGTCCGTAAATGTGTAATCAGAAAGCAATAATTTATTTATAATAAATGTCGCACCTGCCTTAAAAGGTCACTGTTTGAATCTAACCCATAGAATTATTGAAAAATCTTAATGCCAGTCGATATATACGGATATATAAATAGGTGTGTGTGTGTCCAAACAATATTAGGCAGACTCAGTAAACTAGTTGTACCTATAATACCCTTCCGAACTGGTCCATAGTGCATATATGCAAAATTGATTTATGATAATCTTGAGAGGAAATTGGTCAATACATCACAATGTTGCAAAAAATAAAAATGTGTGAGCATCGTCTTTAGTTAGACAAATATATGTATAGAGCAGCTATAACGCTACATTCTATGCATGCTTAGGATACAAGGGCTTTTTCTATGGAATCAAAGGACACACCTTGACAAAGCCAAGGAAATCAGAAAGAAAAATAAATTCAAAACTAGCAACAATCGTTCGCTTACATCTGGAGATTATAACTTGATCTTAACTCTCTTTAAAATCTTTGGATATGGAATAATAATCTCTCATCTGCTGAACGACAATGAATGCATTTGTCAATAAATTCCCCTCCGTTTTTTTCTCTCCTTTTTTGTACAATTTTGAAAAAAAATCTGTCGTAGACACTCGAAGGCTTAGTCATGACCACGTGAACAACACGAGGGCGAAACAGATGCTATATGAACGGGTGAAACAAGCTGGGACGAAACGCCAATAACAGAACAACATCGCGAGGATTCGAAGCGGATTCCACACAAAATTACGGTTTAGGGGACAAGACACAGATTAAAAAAAGAAGAAAAAAAGGAGCGCTCCTCAAAGTGGCGAAATCATCATGAGACGGAGAGTAATGGACCAACAAAAGCAAAAAAGAAATTGAGAGCGCGAAACAACAAGCAGTTCTTATACATCGCAAAATAGAGTCTGTCAACAAAAAATAACTAGCGTGGGAGATAGAAAAAGTTAGTGATAAACACAGTGTTAAAAAAGTGACATAGAAAAGTCTCGATCCAGGTATCTTTCCAGCTAT